CAAAACACAGTACAAGAGGACATAACTTAATTGCCGAAGACAACTGAGCAGGGAACGCATGCCTTACATTTAGCTGGCCGAATAACGTACCTTTCGACCGCGAAGCTAGGATATTATTCGGGCCGAGTGGATTGCCCGCAGCGCACTATACCGGAGCAGGTGTGGTAGGACATGGGGGCGCGATGATAAGACCGAAAGGCAGTCGGTCGGCCCCCGGGTACATGTGGTTCCTAGCAAACTCGAGATTTTTCCTGGATAGTTGACTCGGTGACCGATACCTCACTTTAGCGGGTGAGTGAGGTTTGTGTAAGGAATAAATTACCAGCTAGTTAATAATCGATTCGAATCGCCATCGTTCACTGGATAGTGAACACTTGACTTGAGTTACTTCATCGTAGTAATGTTGATGGAACACGTTCCCTGCTCAGTTGTCTTCGGTAATTAAGCTATGTCCTCTTGTACTGTGTTTTGATCCTCGGATCGCCTCCTTGTAGACTCCAAACCTTGTGACTATCCTTGTTTGCTATCCCTCTTTTGCACAATGCTTGTTCTTACAATCTAATTTGTGCCACTGAAAATTTCACTTTGGTTGTCAGTTCAGTAATGGTGTTATAATTAACATTCTATGGTGCCGCGACGAAACTGAGAGCCTCCTGTGGGCGCACACACAAGGTTGTGCTGCTCGGCACACGCTGGTATTAGGGTTGCTAGTCATAATCCATTATGAAACGACAGCCGATGTGATATTTTCTTGTGATCCTTTCTTGATTATCTCCTCATATCTTATCAGAAGATCAATCTATTAGGACCATATTAGTAGTAGAAGAGAATGCAGTATATGACATTATGGAAGTTGTTAATGATCATTGGTTATTATTATTTGCTTAATCACATGCTTGCTCTAGTATAGGTGCAAATGTAGTCGACAGGTTAATAATATTTAACTTGACAATAATGCTTTTGGAAAGGTTCTTGAAATGCTAAAAATGCCTTTTTGCAAATGAGTCAGCTACCCTACTATAAAGCCCTTCATAATCCTTGGTGTCACTTTATTTTCGGTTATGTCGGGTAAGTCTAGCTGAGTACATTCGAGTACTCAGGGTTTATCCCACCATGTTGCAGGTGAAGTTCTTGGCCTGCGAAAGATGGTGGCTAACCGCTGGTGGGCTCGGTGACTCTATACTTACTTCTCACCTATATGCTTTTATCAGAGGATGTCACTTATGCTAGCAATGTATTTGGAACTTATATTAATGTAATCATTTGAAAGCTATGTTGTTTTCTCTAATCGGTTTTAAAACCCAAACTTGTACTATTATTTGTGAACCCAATTGTAATATTTATTCCGCTGCAACTTTGCGTATGTGATGTGTATTTGCTTAATCACGCGATCTTGGTTGTGATGTTGATTTACCGAGGTCCTTCGTGACACTCGGCGGACTACCGTGTTTGTATAAATACAAGTATGCGCGTGTCAACGTGTTAGCGGGGACAGCCATACTTGATCTTGTATAAATTGGACGGTTCTGTCACACTTGTAACATGCATGTATATGCAACATCCAGATAAACACACATGCAACGTACTGGAATAGATGAAACATTTGGAACATGCACTTGAAACATACGTGTATAGCCATTACAACATGTGCAACATCCTGATCTACCTTTGTAGCATCAATATACAACACTTGCAACATACCTCTGAATCATTTGAAACATACTGTTGCAACATGAGCTTTCAGCGTACCATCTACTTGCTGCTTAGATGAATGGAGGCTCGTTGACGCGGAGTTCGATGCTGCGAAGTGGGGGAGGAGATACCAGTAGGCGGGCGGCTGCGCGGCCCCGGCAGGCCATTCTCATGCTACTTGCTACGGTCGTCTGCACAGGTGCAGCCGGTGCGCACGATGGGGCCGCCCGAGCCGCCGCAAGGCCCCGCCGCCGTAGACCTCATCCGCCTCGTCGAAGATCTTCTGGAGTAGGAGTCCCGCTCCGCACCAAGCTGCCGGAGCACAAGATTCTCAAGGAGACCGTCGCCATCGAGCCGTTCCTCGAGACCGATGTCGCAGCTCCAGGCTGAGAACGTGCGCCTCCACGCCGAGCTCAACGCCGCTAGGACGAGCAGCAGGTGGTTGAGTTGGAGAAAGAGATGGTGGAATCTTTTTTTAAGAAGCTGGGAGTAGACTTTCTATTTGGCTCCGCAGGCCCACGAAGGGAGAGTTCGGAGCATCGAACGCCCTGAGGAGAGCATTACCGATAATAAAGCTACTCCTGTAGCGTGATAACTGTTTTTAGTTCAGTTGTGTAAAATATACACACCGGCAGAAAAACAAATACTCCCTAAATCGAAGGATTTTATCCTAGCATTTAAGAATGTAGTCTACTATCTAAAATTATTTTTAAAATTTAATAAAATACAAATAAGAGTTAATACATATGCAATAACCACAAGTTTCATTAACTTTAAGTAGACTTGATTGTTTAACCACTTTTTGGAGTATAATTAATAAATCACTTCATTTCGACATCAGGCAAAGTTGGTTGCCTTCTTATTAACCACAAAAATTATGGTTATACTCCTTTTGGAATGTGGGATTTTTTCTCTTTCTTTGTATCTTTTTTGTTAGGAGTCCTTTTGGAAAGTATGAATTTCATAGAAATTGTGTAGATTTTCACATAAAAAACATAGAAAACATGAAAAAAATCATGCATGCCAAAGAGGACCTAGAAGGAATTGATTCCTATGAATTGCTATGTTTCAAAGGGACCCTAAAACTGCTACACATGTGGACTGGACGGGCCTTTTTGGAGCTGTATATGAGATGAAATGAGATGAGAGAAGAGTAGCAAGAGAAGGTAAAATGAAATGTGGTTGCACCTGATCTGAAATGGGCACTCCAACTCCCTCCAAGGCTCCAACTCCAAAAAGGAGCATGTTTGGTTTTTGATGAGTAAGAGTAAGAGAACAGCTTTCGATCCTCTTTTCTGTGGCTGCTGGTAAGTGGTAACCTCCCCTATTTATTAGTTCTTCCTCCTCACTTAAGAATTCGGATTCCTATGTGTGGTTTGGTATTAAGCTAACTATTTTAAATAGTTGAGATATGCGAATTGAGCCTAGCGCAGTTGGTTAGATTTTTTGTGGTGGAACTTGTCCATCCGGGTTCAAGTCCGACTTGGCACGAGTGTTCATATTTTCCTAAATTTATTCCAGGATTTAATGGCGTTGTGATTTTAGTGGTAGGACGACGTTTCCTGTCGACAGCGAGGCATCTGTTTACTTGTGTAATTCGTAAAAAAAAAATAGTTGTGATATTTTCCTTGCCTTGATGTGGCTCCGGCCCTGTCTCACTTAACAACGTACGTCTGTTGAGCTAGGTTAAGCATCTGAAGCATGATTAGCATTAGGCAAAGCTCCATAATTTTCTTTCTTTTCCAAAAAGAAAAGCTCCAGAATTTTTTGTTTATAAGAGATAGAAAGACGGAGAGAGCAACATAGTGTTACAACGTAGATGGTTATTCTGCCTAAGTAAGATCCCTTTTGGTAGGGTCTGAACTTCTCCAAAACAAAGAGGTCAGAACTGTGTTTTGGTGGCTTCAGATTCTAGCCTCAAAACTAATTTGACTTCGCTATTTTTGATTTGGTTTTGGTTTTAAGAGTCATTGGTAGAGCTTATAAGCCAACGAAGAAGCACTTGTAAAAGCTTTGCCAAAGAGATGTACCAGTGGATTTTAAGAATCTGACAGAAAAGTCTCAGAATCTCGTAATCCAATCCAAACAAGCAAATTCTAAAGGTATTCTAACACATAAAATTTCAAAAATTATAAAATACAATAGAACCTAGATAGATAATATAAAATATTTGGATTCTAAAAATCATTATTACACTCAAAGAGGGCGAGTCGGCGAGACTCATCCGTTGCGGGCTACTACTACCAGGAGATTGTCCGGAAGAAACAGACAATTCCACGTGTCATAGTGGGCCCCACCATGACGTGACGCCGTGACGGAAACTCCATCCACTTCCGTTCCGCTCGCTCTGTTTCGCCCCAAATCCATTGGCTCTCCACTAGCGGCGCAACCCCATTTCATACCCCTGCTAAACTTCACAGGGGCAATATTTTGTCAAACAAAATTTCGCTAAACTTTCTCCAAAATTCAAACTATCTATAATAGATACCGTTTGTGTATATATATATATATGGGTGAAAGAGATACGCGCCTGAGCCTCTCCTCTCGCGGCCCGTACCAAGGCGTTGTTTAGTTCTTGACCTAAGTTTACTCCATTTTACACCGGATGTTTGAAATATATATAGAGTATTAAATATAGATTTAAAAATAACTAATGGTATAAATTGTAATTAATTTACGAGACGAAATTTTTAAACCTAATTAGTATATGATTTGACAATACAATGCTTACCGTAAATATGTGCTAATGATGGATTAATTAGGTTTAATAAATCCGTCTCACGGATTACTAAAAACTTCTAAAATTTATTTTATTATTATTATCGAATACTGTCACGTGACACCCCGATATGATAGGCGATATGATATCCTGAATTTTAGTTCGTAGATTTAAACACTATCCAAATTTGCGACAACCCAAAAAGAAATTAAATTAAAATTAAAATAAATCGCGGCTTTTTCTTCTTCTTCGTCTTCCTTCCGCCTTGCTCCTCAATCTCTCTCTCTCTCCTTTCCTCCGTGAGTTGCGTCTCCACCTCTCCTCCCCCTTCTTCCGTCCTCGTGTTCCCTACCCATTCCAACTCCTTCCCCCCCGGTCCCCGAGGCTGGCTGTGGCTGCCGCTCCGGCTCTGGCTCGCAATCCAACCTCCAATCGCTCGCGAATGCCGCCTCCTCGCCGCGGCCCCAACCCCGCCCTAATCCCCACCCCGTCGCCTCCGCATTAGCCATTTCCCGACCAATCCCTGCTCCTCGCGTTAGGGTTAGGGCACCGCATCTATCTATCTATCTATTGCGACAGACAGGACGACATGGACGAGTACCACCACCGTCACCGCATGGGCGCCGCCGCCGACTTCCGCCGCGACCTCGAGGACCTCGTCTGCGACCACCTGGGCGGCTGCTTCTCCCCGCCCCCTTCATCCTCCTCCTCATGCTCCGCCGCGGCGGGGGGAGGCGCCGCGGACCATGAGCCCGACGGCGAGGCCGAGTCGTCGGCGGCGCGCAGGCGGAGGCGGGAGTCGCGCCTCCTCAGCCGCTGGGTCGCGCGCCAGGCCGAGGAGGTGCTCTCCTCCATGGAGCGCGAGGTCGAGCGCCGCAACCGCGAGGCCGAGCTCCTCGCGCTCGCGCGCCTCCACCCGGTCTCCACCCTCGACCCATCCTCCTTCCTCCTCTCCTCGCCCGCCGCGCCGCCGCCGCCGCGCCCGCAGGCGCCCTCCCCCGCCGCGCCCTCCTCGCTCCTGCAGATGTGGCGCGAGCTCGAGCACCGCCGCGCCGACGCCGCCCACGCCCACCCCTTCGACCGCGAGCCCTCCCCGCACAACGCCGACCGTGACCGCGAGCGCGTGCGCCAGATCGCGCGACGCCTCACGGACACCGCCGACGGTCAGACCGCCGCCGCCACCGCCGCCGCCACCGGGGAGTGGCTCGGCGAGACGGAGAGGCAGAGGGTCAGGCTCGTCAGGGAGTGGGTGCAGATGGCCAGCCAGCCGCGCGACTCCCATGGGGGCGCGCGCAGGGACGAGCCTGCTGCCAGCGCCGACAGGGACAGGCGAGGGGAGCCTCCTCGGCTACGAGGCCGGCAGGCGCGATTGGATGTCATCAGCCGGATGGCCAGGGAGCGTCAGCGCGAGCTGCAGGGAATATCAGGGTACCATGTCGTGTCGGAGTTTCCTCGCCGCAGCCGCAACCGCATCCAGGTGGGAACCTCGCGGCATTGCATTGCACGAACCACTTACTTGTGATGCCATGCGTGCCGGTTTGTGAAATCTGTGGCTTTCATCACAGGGACTGCTTAGGGGGAGGTTCTTGAGGAATGGGGAGCTTCCAGTTGAAGAGGAGCGACCACCATCTGTGGCAGTGAGGGAGCTCGGGCAGCTGAGGCAGAGCCATCGTATGCCCGCCTTGAGGTTAGCATCCCTTTCGATTATACAATACAACTCTCTATGGTAATAGGACCTATATATTTTGATGATTCTATAATCTACTATGTCATTACAAGTATGTGCCTCCATGCACTTTCAGTGCTAATGGAACTCTTGGCTGGATAGTTCAATCACATCATTTCCACCCCTTCTGTACCATAGAATGTTGGAGAGAAATCTCTGCATTATTTATGTTACTTTGATAATTCTGATGTATGAGGTTTGGAAGTGAGAATGATTGCTGTTTCCCACTCCCTTCCCTTATTATAGTATAGCCTAGGACCCAGTTGTACAGCTTCATTTGTGTTTGTGGTCCCTTGATATCCTGGGGTGTCTCTAGACAACACATTCCTTAGTCCACTAGCACATTCCTCGTTTGCCTTGTTTTCCTTATCTTCAGCGGCAAAAGTGTTTTACCAGGGTAAAAACACAGCGTCTTGTTTGATTTTCTGAGCCTCATTAACTCATGCTTTATCCCATGTCTCTCAAGGATCTTTAGTATCATAACTGCTGTACTGTTGCTGCTCCTAGAAGCAATTCTTTGATGGTAATACACCATATTTGTGCTACAAGTCTAGAAAGTAAGGATCAGGAATTGTTTATTTCATTGTTTGTTGGTAAAAAGATAAGTCTGAAATTAGGGGAATACACTTGCAAGCCAACTGAGAGTATTGTTTTACGGTAATCTGTCCGTGGCATTGCCAAATACTACAGTGTGGGCGTGGTAAAATAGATTGGTGATGCCTTTTTTTTTGTTGGACAGGCATTGCCTAGACATTGAAACCATTACAAATACCTACGGTGTTTAACTGTGTCCAAGTTTATCAAGTTATTCCATCATGCAATCTGTGCATCATAGTTTAAAAGGCGGTTAGGCGTCCAGGCGAGTGCTTGGTACGCCTAGGCGGCGCCTAGGCGACGCCTTGAAAACTATGCTGTGCATAGTTTCTTAGTGGCGCCAATGCCACTAAAATTACTTCTAAAATGAACCAGAAACCTTTTAGTACGGTTGTTGTGTTATTAGTTCTCTAAAGCAAAACCGTAGGCTAGGTTTCAGGTGCCACTGTTGCTAATTATACCGGTCCTTCTGATGGCAGGCCATTCTTGTTCTATACGTTATGGACTATTCACCAACCAAATAGGCTTTAAATGCTACTGCAAACTGTATTGATGATATTGACTAGCATACTCCGGAACCTTTTGTCCCTGAGTCCAGCCTTTGCATGTCTTAGTGTAGTTTGATGGTGATATCAACTATCTTGTACTTACTACACCCACTCGTCAAGCACTCAAGCTATATCTCTTGTGCTGTTGTAGTTACCCTAGTTTGCTGCTGAAGAGAACCCTCTTCCTCTTATTCAGAGTACCGATATCATTAAATGATGATATGGGTCTCTCTTTTAAAAGTGGAGCTATTGATCATTTTCATGCAATATGCTTTTGATGTATAAGTGATTGACTCATGAAAATAAGGGATAACATATCTTTTATTGCTACCAGTCCCAGTTCCTATGCATCGGTTCCATGTATTTTATTCTGTTCTTCCAGTTCCTTCATTGCCAATGTTATTCCTTATACCTTGCTGCATCGAAAGTTCTACAACAAGTGTCATTGCTTTAATTTTTATGGCATCCAAGAAATAGTATATTTATACAGTATCTCTTGATTACTTGACATGTCCTTGTTGCTGATCCTTGATACAAAGATATATAGAATTGGTCAAAGTTAGAAATGATTGACTGCACCCCACTGGTGAACTTTTTCTGTGACTGGAGGGATTTTATATATTTTTTTAAAAAGCAATACATAAATATTATTTGTTCCAGAGCGGTTAAAAGAAGAGAAAGGGTATCAGGGACAGAGATTACTATCGGTGTTTATGTTCTTGTGACTTCTACTATCTATTTCGCAAGACTAGAGGACTAATATAATTATATGATATGGGTCTTGTTGTACTGCTGGCAGGCTTGATAAGTGTAGATGCTAGGGGAGAGATTATGGACTGACATGCAAATGCCAAACTGAGAGTTCAAAGTCTCTGTAGTATATAGTTTATTTTTAAGTTAAATATAAAAATGATTTTAGTAACTTTAAAATGTAAATGTCAAGAGGTTTTTGCTATAATTAACGATATATTGGCCAACATGGTAGTTTCTACACAATATCAACGTGCATCTTGAGTGCTCGAAAAACTGAATCCAAATAACATGAAAGAGAGGCAGTACTTTCTGCCCCCACTGTGTTTCAGAGTTTATTTTACGTGTGGTATCAAGGTTCACATGAGCTGATACCAGAAAAACCTCAATGGGTGTTTGCCTGTTAAGATTGCTCACAACAGTGCAATTTACATCTCTCGATGCTTGTGGTCTATGCCAAGTCCTTATCAATTAGAGCTCTTGTTATGTGATACTGTATGTAAGTTTATTTCCCTGACACTGTTCCAATTAATAAAAGGTAATTTATTGTACCTTTTTCAGATCAGAGAGTGTTGCAAGTAGTCAAGATGTTAGCCAATCTGATGCTTCTGTGGCTGAGAGTGTTAGATTACTTGGTAATGATGAATCTCAGCAAGGGGCTGATGTGGCTTTTACTGATAGTGAGGATACCGCCCAAACGTTGCTGGAGAATGTGGATTTACAAGAAATGGGTGCAGATCGTGCGAGGCACACTCACCAAGTATACCTTTGGATGGCATGGCTGTGATGCAAGAGTCTCTAACTCAAGGTGATAACATGAGGCAAGATGAGACAGAAGATGATACGGGATTCTGGCAGTCATCTTTGGATGGCAGGCTTGATAGGTGGCCCAGTGAGATTGATGAAGGTGCTGACAGAACTTGGGAAGATAATGCAGAAGACTTACACAGTGAAACTGTGGAGGATGATGACAGGGAGCATGGTCATCTACAAGAAGAGCATGATGGATGGCATGATGACGAGTCTCATGGTACCATGGAGAACTGGCAAGATGATTACCAAGATTCCGCACTTGATACAGCCCCCATTCCTAGGACCGAAAATAGGTTTATCCCACCTGACGATGACAATGTGTACAGCATTGAACTTAGAGAATTACTTAGCAGGTATTTTCTACCTTCAGTGGGTATTTCTCTAAATGTCTTTATTTTCCATCTATTTTATTCTCAAGGTATTTCATGTTTTGAATTGCCAGGCGAAGTGTGTCCAATCTTCTTAGTAATGGTTTTGGTGAAAGTTTGGAGCGATTAATAAGGTCATATGTTCAACGGCGTGGTCATGGTCCCCTCAACTGGAATCTTGATGCAGCCATGCCCGCTTCAAATGCACCAAATGCAAATCAGGAACAAGAAAGGAACCTTGAAACTCGGCAATTCCAGGCTCCTGTCAATAGACCTGCCCTTGTTATCCCTCCTCCACCTTTGCCACCGCGGCAACCATTATGGCACAGAGAACTGCGTCATAACAATTGGAGCAGCAGACACAGGGTACATGCAGATCCTGTGTGTTATCTTCTCATTCAATGATGGAGCTTTTGTATAGAAAGGGGAAAAAACTTTTCTACTAGTGTGCTGAGTCAAAAAATTAAAAATGGGATCATATTTGCGGTCATGCCATGGATTTAAATTTGCTTGAATATCTTGTCTTATTTATGTTAAAAAAAATTACATCTGAGGATTCATTTGGTTTTGTATTCTTGCAGGAATGGGATGCTATTAATGATTTAAGAGCTGATATGGGTAGACTTCAGCAAGGGATGAGCAGCATGCAGAGGATGCTGGAAGCGTGCATGGACATGCAGCTGGAGTTGCAGCGTTCTGTGAGACAAGAAGTGTCAGCTGCCTTGAATCGATTTGCAGGACCTGAAGGTTGGCCATTTCTTTTTCTTATAACATCATGATTGCAGTACTGTTTCTATATCTAATATGAACAATGGTTTGCACCAAACCTGAAACTTCTTTTCATTATTTGCTTAGCAAGTTTTTATTTATTTCCTAGTGACTGTTACCATCAATTGAGGTCTGCTTGTTTTCTGTACCCCTTTTTTTTCAGGTTTCCATTCATTGTGCAAGTATGCTTGGTCTTATTGAACTGGTTGGTTGCTTGTGTTTGGCAGGATTCTCGATGGATCTGTCTGAAGATGGATCAAAATGGAATCAAGTGAGGAAAGGAACCTGCTGTGTATGCTGTGATACGCAAATCGATTCTCTACTGTACAGGTGGGTACTCCGCATCGCATTTCATGTTCCTTGTGCACAAGATGGTGTATGTGTGATGTGTGATTTGTAATGCTTTAAACCTTTCGGGTGACGATGGCAGGTGTGGGCACATGTGTACTTGCTCGAAATGTGCAAATGAGCTGGTGCGCAGTGGTGGCAAGTGCCCGCTCTGCCGGGCTCCCATCGTGGAGGTGGTCCGCGCATACTCGGTAATGTAAAGTGGTGGAAGATACAGTCAGTAGGAAAGGGAATAAGTTAAAACGGCAAGCGAAGTTTTGCTGCAAGTGAAGAAAAGCTTGTTCAGGAAAAAGGGACCCAACCAAAAAAAAAAAAAAACTCTCTCGTTTTGCTCCTTTTGTTCTTCGTTTCTTCTTTGTGTATCTATAGGGGAGGCTACTTACGTTGCCTGCATATTCGTTGCCTTGCTGCTTGCGGCGCTGAGACGCAAGCGGCAAAGGGCGTGCCATTGATTTTTGGAAGAGCTTGCGTTGGGAAAGGAAGGTGTCTCCAGTGCAAGCTGTTTCACTGTATATTTATTATACACTGACTGATCCTCAACCGAAGCAGACACCAGCAATGCATTGATATATACCAGGTTCCCTGACTACTCTCTAGTCCTTATCTTCCCGTGAGCACCCGTGAGCATGGACCTGTGATGTGGCTATTGTTTGGTGCGGTATGCTGCTGGTTACATCTGCATCAGTCCGTGGTGTGGTGGGTGTGTAGCTTTCAGCTCCCTTTGCCATTGGTTGAGTCGCCTTTTCTATTGTACCTGCTACGCTCTCTTTCTCATGCATGGTCCGTGCTGTTTTCAATTGCTGGTGTACGCTACACAGAGAAAGTACATACATATGAAAATTGATGAGCTTGCGCAGAAAAAAAAGAAAACTGATGAAATACAGTATTATGCTGTGCTGTGCATACGTCTTTCGCACCCAGCTTGGCCTGCAAGGTGAGGTGCGAGGCGTTTGCTGGGCCTGCAATTGCAACCACGTTGGGGCTGGGCTGGGCTGGGCTGTGCCTTCGATTGCAACCGGAAGCCGTGGTTGGGTTTCTTTGCTCGTAGTAGCTGTGTCGTCAGTCGAAACAAATTTCCAGTGTCTCTCTCACCTGTCCATTCTGCGTCTCCATTCCTCAAAAATCAAAATCCAGTGTCGTGATTGGGATTCGGGCTCGTGATTTTCGGCGCGGGGGCCGACGGGGTCATGTGAATTTTGATCCGGTCGTTGCAACTTGCCATCTCCGGATCCTCGGGCCCCACCCACATAGGGGTTCCGTTCCGTCGCTGTCGCTGTAGCTGTAGCAGTAGTAGCAGTAGCAGTGTTGTGTAGCACCACCACTCCTGTCGCTCCCTCCACCACACATACGCGCGCCATCCCCCTCCCCTCCAGTCGCGCGCCGTCAATCCAATCCACCAAAACCAAAAAATGCCGCCGCCGCATTGTCGGCGCCGCGAGGGACGACATGTCCCCGGCGGAGGGCCGGCTGGCGATGATGGAGCTGGCGAACATGGTGTCGGTGCCCATGGCGCTGACGGCCGTGATCCGCCTGGGCATCCCCGACGCGATATGGGCGGGCGGCGCCAACGCGCCGATGTCGGTGGGCCGCACGCTGGTGCCCGAGGGCGCCTCGGGTGCGTCGTACGCCGACTACGTGCTGCAGCACCACCAGGACGCGCTGGTGGCGGCATGGCCGCGGCTGCACGAGGCCGTGCTGGACCCGCGCGGGCCCGAGCTGTTCGCGCGCGCCAACGCCGGCGTCCCCGCCTATGCCTACTACGGCAAGGACCGGGAAGCTAACCAGGTGATGCTCCTCGCCATGACGGGGTCTCCGAGCCCTTCATGGACGCCCTCCTCGACGGCTACGGCCCCGACGGCGGGTTCCGCGGCGTCGCCAAGCTCGTCGACGTCGGGAGAAGCTCCGTCGCCTGCCTCGAGATGATCATGCGCAGGGTCCCCACCATCAAGGAGGGGATCAACTTCGACCTCCCCGACGTCGTCGCCGACGCGCCGCCCATCGCCGGTACGTACGACGCTACAGTCAGTTAGTCAGATGCAAATGCAATGCATCATCATTCATTCAACAATGCAAGGATTATTCGTCTGATCCGATCCGTCCGGGATTATTAGTTGCATTGCCTCGGGATTATTAGTTTGCCGTCCACATACATAGTCGCATACAAATGCAAATGGGATGCATCATTCTGGGCATTTTGATGCATATGTATTCATCTTAATCCACATGTGTATGTGTTGAGGTCTTGTTTGAATGCGTATGTATTTGTCTCAATCCACATGTGTTGAGGTGGATTGCAGTGGAATTAAACTAAATTCCATTTCATTCCACTCCAATATATGTGGATTGAGGTGGATACACATACATCCAAACAAGGTTTGAAGTGAATTAAACTAAGTTCCATTCCAATCCACTTCAACCCATATGAACTGGAGTGGATACACATGTATCAAACAGGCCTCAACTAGATTTATTATCATCGATTGTTCAACAGGCTAAGGTTAGCTCAGTTCCTTGGATGACTCTGCACGGATCTCTACACGCCTACAAACTAAACTGTAGTGTATGTACTTCCCTCAGCCAAAAAAAAAAACGATCTACTCACCCCGTTTTAAAATAACTAAAAATTAATCTCGCTTTATAGCATCTGTATCTACTAATATGACGCATACTATATCAGAAATATTGCTAGTAGTATCTTTTGTATGTATAATCCATTGATTAATAAAACTAAAAAAATAACTTGTTGAGAAGCAATATGGAACACGGAGGAAATAGACGTGTATGGTGGCATCTCTCTGATCTTAATTCTTCCAGCATCATAGTCAACAGCTAGCGATAAAACACTGCCGTATCATACGGGATATGGCAGGTGCGCGAGGATTTCAGCGAAAGCTAGTGATCAGATCCCTCGCCGCACGTACCGCCCATCACAAAGATATGATGGCTCTGCAGTAAGTACCGTGTGGCTGTCGATTGTGATCGAAATGGTCACAGCATTTTTAATTTTACGCAAACATACATACATGGGGATTTGTTTTTCACATCATTAAGAGAAAGGAGGGCAAAATTGCATGGAGCAAACACCCATCGATCTGCGTCTGCTAAGGGCAGTCCTAATGAAAGAAACTAGTAGTTTCTGTAACATAGGATACCGCATCAAAAAAATATTGTTTTTCAACCCATGGTTTTTATGAGTAATAATTATTTTCTCTTTCTCTCTTCCAACTCTATCTTCTTCCTCCAATGGGAGTGCGGCACGAGCCCCCTAGAAACTGGTGGTTTCTCCCCAATGACGATTTCATGGTTTCTTGATGCATTGGGTCAAGAGAAGACCTGATTTCTTCATGAGGGCAGTCCCAATAAAAGAAACTAGTAGTTTCTATAACCTAGGATACCGCACCAAAAAAGTACTGCTTTCCAACCCATGGTTTATATGAGTAATAATTATTATTTTTTTCTCTCTCCCAACTCTATCTTCTTCCTCCAATGGAAGTGCGACACGAGCCCCTAGAAACTGGTGGTTTCGCCCCAATGGTGATTTCATGGTTTCTTGGTGCATTGGATCAAGAGTAGACCTGATTTCTTCATGAGGAAACTATTTCTATAATTTTTGCTCTCTTTCTTCATTAATTACGTTGCCATGTCAGCGTTTTGCCTACGTGGCAAGTCATTTAATAAGGATAGAAACCATCATCAATACACCATTGGGACTGCCCTGAGGAAACCATTTCTAGGATTTTTGCTCTCTTTCTTTATTAATTACGTTGCCATGTCAGCGTTTTGCCTACGTGGCAAGTCATTTAATGGGGATAGAAACCATTATCAATACACCATTGGGACTGCCCTACGGACGGGTGGGTTTGTGTTTAATTTATAGAACAAGTCGCCCTGTCAGAATAAGCCTTTTGAATCTAGTTTAGCACTTTAATTAGCGCACACGCCTAGCGCTAATGTCCGAGCCGAGCATCTCCAGCAAAATGTTTGATAAAAAAAAGAATCTGTTACTATTTAAGATGCTTCCAAGAATTGTTATTGCGCCCCAAGTTGGTTTCGATTTTTGAAACACGCCGCCGCCGTAGATTTTTATATATGTTACAATTGCGGCGCTGATGGTGTGCCACGCCACGGGCCTGTAGCAGGTCCGACAAGTGCCTAGCCTAGCTAGAGAGGCCACCGTGATCTACAGACAGCTGTTGCCTCGTGGAGGGAGAGCAGCCAGGTGCGTGCCACACACGCCTTTGCCTTTGAATGAAAACATACAATACAATTCATCGCTTGGCTATACCAGTACCATGGACCATGACCCACTCCTGTTGTTTTCAGCAATGCCATACGTGTGAATCACCACTTATGATATGCGTGGCTAAACTTATGAAGGTACGGTACCCAGTAGTGCCCCTCGCTCACCTCCATTGCAAACACCACTTCAGTTCCTTCTTCAGAGTCCAGACTGACCATCAGGAGCCTCCTTCCCAAAACCAAATCGTCGGATCATGCAGTGGGTTCTGACGACGTGGACCAACGACGAGTGCACGACCATCCTGAGGAACTGCCACGCCGCGCTGCCGGACGGCGGCAAGCTGGTGGCCTGCGAGCCGGTGGTGCCGGAGCAGACGGACACCAGCACCAGGACCGTCATGACCACCTACCGGACGCAGGGGAGAGAGCGCTCTGAGGAGTTGTTCCGCCACCTCGGAGTCACCGCTGGCTTCACCGCCTTCCGCGCCATCTACCTCGACCCCTTCTATGCCGTCCTCGAATACACCAAGTGATCTCAATCAAACCAAACATCATCCACCATCAATCATGTTTTCTCTAGCGATATACAGTTGATGAGATGAATAGTAGCATAATAACGAACAGATAAAATAATGTCAGGCAAAGTTGAGATTCACGTTGGAACTGCGCGCTGTACTGTACTGTGGTTAGCTTCTGAAACCAGAATCTCTCTTCCAAGCGTTCCAACAGCTTCTGATGACAACCATAATATCCAGCTCTTTCAAGCATTCTATTCTAAAAGATTTTGGCAACAAAATTTAGTTCAGCTATTTGCAACTGCGAATTCGACTCCATTTCAGCAGTGATTAGTCACGCAACTGGTAAGGATCCGGAGTGGCATCACAAGTACATACATTCATCAACCCGTCCATCCAAATAAATATTCATCAATCACTACAATTATTTCTTAGTTACGGTATGTTCAGATAGAGCAGTGATCTCCATTTTAAGCGCCTGCTGACACGAGCAGGATTTTCAATACATGAATTATTCCTCTTTCTTATCTTCTGCCGCAGCACCATGTGGATTGGCTAGGGGTTTTGATTCACTCGCACCCTGTAAAGGCGGAGTACAATAAGCAATTGGGAGATGCACTGTAGCATGAGCATATAAGGGCACAAAAAGTAGGATGAACATGTAGGCGTACCTCATCGTTCTTCTGAGCTGCAGGCTTGTAAGGACAAGCAGGTGGGACTCTTTCAGGTCTCCGGTACTCCCATCCAAATAGCCGATACACCTTGCTCTGGAAACCGTCCAAGATACAGATCAAATTCCATAATGTAAGCAACAGAATTTTAATAGAAACTAGAAATGAAACAGAGATCCTCTTCATTCATGTGACCAAATGCACATGTAAACCTACAAGGCTATGTGCAGTCAGAGAGCGCATCACTATCATTTTTGGTTCACAGATCAGATGTATGGTTCTGACAGAATTATTCTTAAGCAACTGACCATATAATATAATCCTAGAAAACCTAACAAAACCGTCAATGAAAATAAACCAGCTTCGGCCCCCTAGATGGCTCTTCCAAATCACATACACGAATCTTTGTAATTGACAGGTAGATCCTCCATAGAGGATCAATGATTTATTGTTCCAGCTAATCCCATAAGGCCTAGACAAACTTAGGCATGAGTACATGGCTAGACCCAGCCGACGTCACTGAACCACTATTGTTGTAAAAGGTGCATATTACTCCCGAAAAAAAGAAAATCAACAATCCGATATCTTCCATGCTGCCTGTCTAAATTGAAATTATGGTTTCCTTTATTCATTACAGTCAGGACTCAGGAATTGGTTTATTCTCAAATCTAGAATCAACAATCTATAGGCCAGGAAGCTGCTGGGCACAAGAATTCATAATAATCCAAAATGCATATTGCTTATTAATTTACTGCATGATGTTATTGCTATGCGAATCTGATGAGGAAATCTGGGTGGGTATGAACTGCTGCTAAGGAAACGTGATCATAAAATCCAAACCAAATCATCATAGAAAAGAAAACCAGCTCTGGCCGTAGCTGGCTCATACAAACCACAATCGATAATCGGCATCAAGGTCTGTCTACTCTTCTCTATAGGAACGGTGGGCTCTGGTTTCTTGCTCCAACGAATCCACGAGCCCAAGACAAAACCACCAGGGCAGCACACTAGACAAAAAAGCTCGAAAATCCCCCGCCACCGCTGAATCGATAGAACCCCTAACCACCACGGGCGATGCCTGGTTGGATCTTACAGAAAGAGAGAGAGAGAGAGAGAGAGAGAGAGAGAGAGAGAGAAAGAAGGATCCGTACGATGATGAGGTCGATGAGGTAAGGGAGGGCGTTGACCACCGGGATCAGGAAGAGCGGCAGCAGGCACGCGACGCATACCTGGCCAAGCACATCCACCACGACGTTAGTATAGCACCGGGATCTGCAGGGAGGGGAGGGGAGGGGAGAGGGAGAACTGAGCGCCTCACCATATCGTCGGATCGGATCGGATCGGAAGCTGGAGGATGGATCGGCCTCCTTGTCTTTGACCCCGTTGCTTGCACCGATTCGTCTCCTAGCTCCTCCTCGTCGTAGTCGTCGGGGCGCGGTGGTCGCCGATCCGGAGCTCGTGCGGTGCGATGAGAATGCGATCGGGGACAAAGACTGGAGAGGAGAGAGGAGAGGAGGGGAGGGACAAAGGAGACGACGGGCCCCACCAAGTCGTCCACACTACAGACCACGGAATGCGAGGCACGGCCCAGTTAGACTGAGGTCATTGAGGCCGGGAAAGGCCTTTTGGGCTTCTTTCTTCTCTCGTCTGACTCTCTGAGTAGGGTGGGTAAAGTGAGAGAGAGAGAAACTTGGGATCTTCGTGGGGAACAAATTTCTGCTCTTGTTCTTCGAGGAGGAATACTTCGTGGAGGAAGATGACCCAGCACTCATCCCGAACATTGCAAAGCCAGAAGAGCTAGGACAGTTCAAACCAATAAGTCTGTGCAATGTGATCTACAGGATTGCATCGAAGGTCTCGAGCTCGTGGCAAATAGGCTCAAGGCGTTTTGCGTGCAATAATCTTTGAAGAACAGTTGGCCTTCGTTCCTGGGCGGCTAATCATGGATAACATTATTACGATGTGTGAGTGTATATGTTGTTTTATGGAAACAGAAGAGAGGCAGGAATGCTCTCAAGCTAGACACAACTAAGGCATTCGACCGGGTAGAATGCAACGAGCAATTATGAAGAAAACGGGTTTCCACAGTATTTAGATTAATATGATTATGCGGCTAGTAACGTCGGCGTCATTCTTAGTTTTATGGAGCGGAGCACCATTTGAAACCATTAATGTGCTACTTTCTCCGTTCTAAATTATAAATAAGACGTTTTTTTTAAAAAAAAATCTTACTATATATTTAGACATAGTGTGTATTTAAATATATAGTAAATTTTTTTTGTATCTATAAGAAAACTAAAATGATTTAAAATTTAGAACGGAGGGAGTAATGCTTAAGCTTCCTCGCAAAAAGAAAAAGTAATGCTTAAGCTAGAATAGCATGTGCCTAAGTGTGAGATTCACTCCAGAGTTCGGACTAGCCCTCTCGTGTGTGTAATTAACCAAGGGACAAGTCGATAACAATTCTTGTGTGAGCTGTGCGCCTGTGTCGGTGCCGAACGAAGAAGCACAACCTTAGGAACAGCAAGCTTTTTTTTTAACTGGCTTTGGTTGCCGGACCTACAGGACATATTTGGATGAGTAAAGGGCGAAATAACGGATGACTAAAGCGCATAGCAGCAGTACATGTCAAAACGGAGCCACTAGCGTCCGGACATCTGAATGCGGCAAGTCCAGACCCTGCTCCTGCGCTAGCACCCAAGCACGCAGCTCCCTTCACCCCGCACCCACTACTACAGAACGTTACTGTAGGGGCGGCTGCGCCAGCCGCCCTTCCCAGAGTGTTCCTACAGAGGGTGTCTCTATAGGGGCGGCTAGTATTTTCAGCCACCCAGCCGCCCCTGCAGTGAACTTCTATAAGGACGGCTGTATCACCAGCAGCCCCTGCTGTGTGTATTTGTAAGGGCGGTTTAATCAAGAACCGCCCCTACAGTGAATTTTACAGAAAAAAAATTCAAATTCAAATCTGACCATATATATATACACACACATATATATATATATATATATGTAATTCAAATTCGAATCTGACCGCCACAAATATCCATATATACATCCACGAAAATTCAATGCGTAACCATTGCTGCATTCAATTCATAGACAAAAAGAAGTACCACTAAAATTCTGCAGAATCATCCACCAACAGCACTCAAATTATTTGTACGCAGCCCCAGAGGCTTGCCGCAGATATATACTGACTCTGACCCGCATTTCAACAACAGAGCGTTAAACACTACCGCTTGTTGCATATCTACTCTGACCCAAGCATTTCAACAAGCTGGGCGTTACGCGCTACCAGTCATAAGTTAAGAGTGAAAAAAGTTCGCAATCCAAAGTATATACAGGAAAGCGGTCACAACATGCTTATGAGGGCGCTGATTCGCCCCATCATGGAGAGCGCGCAAGACACGGTGGCCTTGTGATGACCCCGGTACACCACGATGGCCTATCCGGTTGACATTGTCCATAGCCTCATTGTGGTGTCTCAAGAAAAAAGTAAGAGAGAACAGATCGGTTAAGCGTGTAAGCTGATGAATCATCGGGGAAGGCAGAGGGCAACACGGTGTAGTTCATACTCAAGTATCGAGATAAGCACCATCGAACCGAGAATACATGGTCCCAAACCAGTGACTGATGGCCTAAGAAGTTGATTGCCAGTGGTGTTTCAGGATCTCATTTGGAAACATAAGATGAGTATGAGATCGAGAATTGTTAAAAGAAGACTCCAAACATTACCGACTAAAGTTCTTTCCAACTTGAAGCCATCAACATTCCAAATCTTTACAGTGTGGTCAGATGATGCTGTGGCAAGATACCTGCAAACAAACCCAAGAATGTCACATGGAACCCAAGAGGACACAATAATACACTGGAAGAACCATGACAAAGGGTTCGGTTGAACCCTAACTTCGATCCCTTCGGATCTGAGAAAAGAAGAGGGTTCGGATAAACCCTAACCCTAATCGGGTTAAGCAAATGAGAAAAGAAAAGGGTTCGGATGAACCCTAACCCTAACTGGGTTAAAGAAGCAGGGCTCGTTTTCATGTCAAAATCGAACCCTAAAACCTGAAATAAATTCGGGAAAAAGAAAACAGTGAAACCCCATCCCCAAACCTTAACCCTAATCCCCAAATCGGATGAAATCCAAGAACAAAAACGAAGAAAAACCGAAAGGGGAAGAAGGGGAAGGGGGTGGCCTACCTCGCTGCATTGCAAGTGAATTTGCCTTCAGACGCCGACGCGTGGGGAAAAGAAGACGAGCTCTGGGCGCTGCTGCACGAGCTCCGGGTTAAAGAGCGCTGCCAGAAAGGCCGCTCGATGGCGGCGCGGCCACCACTGGGGAGCGCGACGCGCGGCGAGGAGAGCCGGGCGACGGGGACATGCCTCCTGGGCTCCACCGTCATTGCTCTCGGCCTCTCACTCGGTGACTGCTGCTGCTGTACTGAGGAAAGGAGAGAGAGCGACGAGTGAGAAGAGAGCGGAGTGAGGCGAAGAGAGAGAGAGGGCTGGAAAGAATGAACTAGGGTTTTCCTCGGGGGCACGCTGCGTCGAGTTTTATTCCAAGCGAAACGTGCGGGTCGCCGTCGGATCTGGACGGACGGCCGAGATTGAAGCAGGCCAGCGCCCCTACCAAGCGGGCGGCATGAGCTTTTGCTGCCCAGGCCAGTTGCGACCTTAGTGCGGGCTGCTGCAGCGTCTGGCAAATGATGGGCCGAGCCGACTTTTTGTTTGGTTTTAAATAAATAAGAAAGAATGAGCCCAATTTTCGTTTTTTCTTTTTTCCAGAAAATTAAAAAATAGAAATTGGCTCAAAAGAAAATAGAAAAGAGGATTTTCCTGTGGGTAAAATTCATCAAATTGAATTATTTTCCGCTGCGTATTCAAAGAAGTTATTTTCATTATTAAATTCGAACCAATGGGAGAATTTAATTTTGAAAAATAGATATGTTTTAATTGATTATAATATTGTTATTATTCTGACCAACGTTGATATTGTTATTTCCTATGGATAATATTGTTATTGCGACTGCTGCCCCGCCGCTATCTGCCTAGCCGGCGCTCTTCAGCCGCCCGTGCCCAGCGTCCACGCCTGTCTCTGCGCACGCCGGAGGAAGTACACGTCGCCACCCGTGCCCACCATACTCGCCTGTCTCTACCCACGCCGCAGGGAGTACACGCCGCCGCCCGCTAGGGTTTGGTTGGAAGATCTACAACTTTTATTTTGATCATCTTGTCATTTGACAAAATTTGAACCTTTCAAATTTGAAATTTTAAAAAATGACAAGTTCGAATCAAAATTTGAGACCCAAAATGATTTCAACATAAAAAGTGATGAATACCAAAGTTGTTCAACTCATTAATATCTACAACTTTTATTTTAGTCATCTTGTCATTTGATAAAATTTGAACCTTTTAAATTTTAAATTTTGAAAAACGACAAGTTCGAACTAAAATTTGAGACCCAAATTGATTTTAACATAAAACGTGATGAATACCAAAGTTGTTGAACTCATGAATATCTACAACTTTTATTTTGGTCATTTCTTCATTTGACAAATTCTTAGCACACATTGTTCACTAATCTTACACATGTCTTATATAGTTTATAAAACCTTATGAAAGATATATTATATCTGTGAACAATGTCATTACCACTTTGTCATATGAAGAAATGATCAATACAAAAGTTGTAGATCTTGATGAATTATTCAACTTTGTTATTTATCACTTTTTTAGCTGAAATCATTTGGGGTACCAAAATCTTGTCTGAAGTTGCATTTTTTTGAAATTCAAAATTTAAACTGTTCAAACTTTTCGTATGTATATATTGACAAAACCAACAAAATAAATTGATAGAGAATGGTTTTAGAAAATTTTAGGAAAAAAATCATCAGATTTGGAGCTAGTACGTGGAAGAAAAACTAGTTACAAAATTAACCCACAGATTAAAAAAAGAAATCACACTGTTCACTGTGATCATGTAAGAATCATTTAGAATAGTGTGATTTCTCTTTTTAATCTGTGGGTAAACTTTGTAACTAGTTATTCTCCCTCGTACTAACTCCAAATGTGTTGTTTTTTTTTCTAAAAAATTTTAAAATCATGCTTCAACATTTAAGTTTGATTAAACTTGGATGTGACGATGTTTTACACATTTTAAAATTTGAAATTTAACAAGTTCAAACTAAATTTTCAAACCCTAAATGATTTCAGATGTAAAAGTGATGAATACAAAAGTTGTTCAACTCATCAAGATCTACAATTTTTATTTTGGTCATCTTGTTATTTGACAAAATTTGAACCTTTAAAATTTGAAATTTT